ACCATGATCTGAAATTTTTAAAAAAGTGATTTTTTTTTTTCCTGTCTAGAGCCTAATTTTACATAAATGATAAAATATGAATTACAAAACTCATTCCCGTTTCATAATTTACACTGCTGCTTGTATATAATATCCAGGATTTTGACGATAGTGAATTGATCCACACTTTTAAAGCCCTCGTGAATGTCTGGTCTGCCTGTTGATCTTACTGTTATGCATGACCGTATCCAGTCCGTTCTGCCAGCACCCATGAACATGTTTTAGATTATTAACCGCACTTTTCCAGCAAATTACTGCAGGAATGCTAATGATAAATCATAACTTTCATATCTGGCTGTCCCTTTTTTAATACGTTAAAATGTCATTAAGTTCTAGATTTATTTCCACTCTCCAGTGAAGCTCAGTTTGAGGACAGCTGGAAGAAATGTGTAATGTTCAAATTTGGATCTGCCTCTATAATTAATTCCTGCTGCAAGTAATATTGTAATTCTAGAGTGGATCCGCCTCTATAATTAATTCCTGCTGCAAGTAATATTGTGATCAACTTCAGAACTGATCAGTGTGCTGTGAGGAAAGAGCTGTACAATGCAGATCATATAGATACAGATTTAAAAAGCTATAATAATCCAGACTGTCTGGCCATGGAAATGGTAATAAACTCATTTTATTTCTGTTTTGTCTGGAAACCTTCTCAGTGTAAATCTTGTGTTATGTAACGTGATTTATTCAGCTGTTCAGAGAACACTCAAAAGAAACTTTATTTTTCCATCTTGATGAATTTTGATATCCTCAGCAAAACTTTCATTTTCATTTTAACTAAAAAACCATCAAGCATTGTTTGGCTTCATGTTGCTAAAGCCTGGAATCATCATTTAAGCTGTATTTGCAGGGCTGTTTCTTGCTGCAAGTGGTTTGTGCAGCTGCTTAGGGCTGCCAAGCCACCAGGGGGAGCTTTATTTATTTATTTATTTATTTATTTATTTATTTAAAAACATTAAATTTAGTAAATGATATATAATTTTATAGTGTATTTGTAGTTTCTAGTATTGTGTAGTAAAATACAGTTCAGTATAGTATAGTACAGTTTAGTATACTAGCATTTACTGACATTCATGTTAAATAAGTACTCGAGTATTTTCAAGTCATATTTCTACTGACGTATATTAGTAAGTAAAGGAATCGACTTTTAACTCATTTTTGTCATTCATATTTAGTTTCCTATTCATTTTTTTGTGTTTCATTTTATTATGTTTTGTTGGTGACATCATCTGTACTGCTTTGTGATTGGTCATATTTCTTTCTTTGGAGCTTCAGCATTTCATTTCAGACCAGAATTCCAAAAAGAGAGGAATTGTATGATCTTCATTTCCTGTGATGATAAACGCTAGATGTACTAAGAAGTTCCACCGCAGTTCTAAAAGTTACTGAGTACTTCTTGGATTTTTTTTAATCTGATACTTTTGTACTTCTACTTTGTACTTCTGCTCAGGAAGGTCATTTTACTCTTCTTTATCCAAGTATGAATAATTTTACCTGAGGACTGATATAGGCTACTCTGTCCACCTCTAGTGTAGTACAGTATAATATAGTATAGTGTAGTACAGTACAGTATACTGCAGTACAATAAAGTATAGTACAGTATTGAATGGTATAGTGTACAATACACAGCACAGTATAATATAGTATAGTATAGGGTACTATAATATAGTGTACAATATACTGTAGTACAATATAGTGTGTTACAATAAAGTATGGTATAGTATAGTACAGTACGGTATAGTACAGTACATTACAGTATGATATATAGTATGGGAGAGTATGTAAGATAGGATTGCAGTGGTAGACAAATATAAAAATTTAAAAATATATATAAATGGAAACATTACTGTTATATATATTATTTAGCATACTGGAAAAAAACATTTTGCCACATTTTATACTTTATGTTCTATTCTGTCCAATGTGTTAACCTCAGCAAATTAATAGAAATTGTGCTCTAAAATGTGCAGCAAATTCCATATTTAAGCGTGTTCCTGTAAAGGATGTGTTACTTATTTCCAGCTCAAAAACAACAAAATGTAATATGACCCGGGGGTGGGTCTTTTGCATCATAGGACCATATATTAGATTTGCAATTAACAGACATGTTTTTGAACCAAAAAATAATCAAACCAAAAACACAGACAAGTGTTGCTTTAAAAAAGGAAATATTCATTAAAAAACTTTGCAGTAATAAGAAAACACTGTGAACATTGTGGTGGTCCTCCCCGTTGAGCTGGTCCATGCTGGTGCCACCTGATCTAGGATAAGGGTTTAGCTATTAATAAATGCCATTAAAGCTTTTATAACACCTTATTAAGACCTTATTTCATAGACTGATAGCAGAACTGCAGCCAAAGAGCCTTTTGGCATCTATGATTCCAGGCAGACCATTTCAGCAGGGAAGACCACCACGGTCACCACGCCGCTACGTTAGCTATTGCAGTAGTTACAGTTAACGACTTCTGAAAAAATCTGATTTTATACAATTAGTTCTGTGTATATAACCAAACAGATCGAACCACTTTTGGTTTCCTAAAGAACCTTTCAGTAGATGGTTCTTCAAAGTATCATTGTATTAAATGAGATGCGTGAGTATGCAGGATCTTTCATATAATGAAAAAGGTGCTACAGCCTTAAAACTGTGGTTCTTCGAGGGTTCTTTAGTAAAGACAATGGTTATATATAGAACTCTGAACAGTCAAAGAACCATTCTTTAAAGAGCACTTAAGAAAGGGTTCAGCTACGAGTCATAGAACCTTGCTTTTAGGTATTAGATCTGTTTTTGGTAAGAGTGTACATCACTAAGGCTTTCCCTAGAACTGTACATTCAGCAAAGAACCTTTTAGGAGCTGTAAACTGTAAAGTATTAGCAAAACAAAATCTTTATTCCCAGAATCATGTATACACAACCTTTTGAAAAATGGTTCTACCCAGCATCAAAAAGGTTTCTACAAATGTTACAAGCCACATAACCTTGTTTGGGTTTATACTGACCCCTTTTTGATACTGGCCTAATAATAACAATGAGAAAGCTAAAACAAAACAGAAACATGTGTTTCCATCCGGTCGTGGCTGAAAGTGGTCCAGCTGTCCGATCTGATTATATAAACTTGAAAAACCCACAAAATAAAACAAAAACCACCAAGATCAAACAGGCCGTGTCCTTTCTTTTTTTTTCATGCAGTAAAACTGCTCTTCAGAAGAAGTTCTGACTCCCCTCAGCTTTAACTTTTAGTGGGTGGTGATGATTTATGAAGGAATGGTTTAGGAATTCATAGCTCCAGATGATTTGTGGATGTGTCATAGTTCCAAGAAAAGGCGTACACCTTTATCTTCCACACCTTTATCACATTCTTTCTTCTTTTGAAAACTTTCATGCGACCTCAGCATGCAGGTTCACTATGGATCTGTGAGGCAATCCATATCAGCTGCCTGTTTCCTTCATTTTTTCCTTCCAGCTATGTTTTGGCTCATATCCCAGTCTTGTTTTATGCTACAAAGAATTTCTGCTGCTCTGGGGGTGGGCAATATGGGGGAAAAAAATCGAACAGAAATTTTCACAGTGCACAATATGAATCACGATATTTACTTTGCTTTAAAGGCCAAATAAAAGCTGTTTGGGTCAATTCTGGCTCTCCATGAGTGCTGGTTGACTACTGGGCAAATGTTAGGCATGTGGGCCAGAATAAGGCCAGACACCGGACAGCTGCTTACAGTTTTGCTTTGAGTGTATATTTGTGAGCCAATTATGGTGTAAATGTTGTGGACCAACAGTGTAGTTTGGGCAGATTTGGGCCACATCTATTAGTTCTACTGACTTTATAGTGTATGGGCCAGATTCGGGCCACATCTTTTAGCTCTACTCACTTTATAGTGTGTGGGCCGGAATTGGGCCACATCTTTTAGCTCTACTCACTTTATAGTGTGTGGGCTGGAATTGGGCCGCATCCATTAGTTCCACCCACTTTATAGCGTGTGGGCTGGAATCAACCACATCTATTAGTTCTGCTCACTTGATAACGTGTAGGCCAGATTCTGGCCACATCTATTAGTTCTACTCACTTTATAGTGTATAGGCCAGATTCTGACCACATCTATTAGTTCTACTCACTTTATAGTGTGTAGGCCAGATTCTGACCACATCTATTAGTTCTACTCACTTTATAGTGTGTGGGCAAGATTTGGGCAGTATCTATTAGTTCTGCTCACTTTATAGTGTGTGGGCAAGATTTGGGCCGCATCTATTAGTTCTACTCACTTTATAGTGTGTGGGCCAGATTCGGACCACATCTATTAGATCTACTCACTTTATAGTGTGTAGGCCAGACTCAGACCACATCTATTAGTTCCACTCACTTTATGTGGTCCAGATTGAGACCACATCTATTAGTTCTACTCACTTTATAGTGTATGGGCCAGACTCGGGCCGCATCTGTTAGTTCTGCTCACTTTACAGCGTGTAGGCCAGACTCGGGCCGCATCTATTAGTTCTACTCACTTCATAGTGTGTAGGCCAGACTCGGGCCACATCTATTAGTTCTGCTCACTTTATAGTGTGTGGGCAAGATTTGGGCCACATCTATTAGTTCTACTCACTTTATAGTGTGTGGGCAAGATTTGGGCCGCATCTATTAGTTCTGCTCACTTTATAGTGTGTGGGCCAGATTTGGGCCGCATCTATTAGTTCTGCTCACTTTATAGTGTGTGGGCCAGATTTGGGCCGCATCTATTAGTTCTGCTCACTTTATAGTGTGTGGGCCAGATTTGGGTCGCATCTATTAGATCTACTCACTTTATAGTGTGTAGGTCAGATTCGGACCACATCTATTAGTTCTGCTCACTTTACAGTGTGTGGGCCAGATTCTGACCAAATCTATTAGTTCTACTCACTTTATAGTGTGAGGAACAGAATTGGGCCAAATCTATTAGTTCCACTCACTTTATAGAGTGTGGGCCAGATTCTGGGCATTTTTTGGGTATGCCATCTGCCATGTCACGAAAAATAACCCAGCCAAGGGGTCAGTTTTCAAACAATAACAGCATGTGAGGAAGTCAGTTAGCAGAGTTGGTTAAACGGCAGCTAACAGGAATCAGCACATAAACTTCATAAAATACAGACGTTTTACTACTTACTGTTAAATAAAAACTATTTAAAAATTAATCTATATTTTTCTGTTAGTGATGTAGGAAGGTAGCTAATGTTAGCTTGCTAGAACTAGAACCTGTTACAGGTTCTAAAAGTTACGTTTTGTCGGGTTAACTGTAGTCGTAGCTCTATGTATGTCAAACTCCTTGTGTTGGGTCAATTATAAGTAGACATTAACATTATCAGTGTGATCAATTCATTGTAACTAGCTAATGTTAGCCTACCAAGTAGCTAGTTACCCCAGCCAACTTGATCAGCCTAGACTTTATCTGACCTTCTCGTAATGTCTAGTAGATACATTGGATTGTTTTTAGAGCAAATTCTTTGTCATGTGTTTTGTTGTTTGGCTATAAAAGTTTTAACCCCTTAAAATCTCAAGCTTATTACATACTAAGGTTTATTACTCAGTAACTACAGACACTTCAGTGCAAACAGGTTGAGCTGTTCTTCGGTTATAGAAGTGTGCAATAAAACTTTGGGCCTGCCGTCCAGCTCTGGCCACTTAAGGGTTTAACTTTGGTCGTCCTTTATTTACAGGTTGGTGCAAACATGCTGGAATATATGCAGACTGATTTCTTCATTGATTACAAAGCTAATATTGAGCGTCATGTTAAAAAAGCTTACGTAAGTTTTTACAAATGCTTGCTTATATTGCTTTTTTAATAAAAAATGATTTTAATTGAACAGGTTGTCATTATTTAGCAGTACTATTGTTTTTAAAAATGCTATAAAATCGAGTATAATGTGAAAATCACAAACAGTAAAAGTGGTAAAATGAACTCTAGGTCAAAAGAAACCACGTATCACTCTTACAATCCAGCCTGTAGGATTATTCGGCAATTAAACCTCTATTTATAATGTCTGTGACCCAGCGTTGGTTTTATCCCAGCACTTTTGAGTGTATAGAAACTGAGCACAGTGTTTTTTATTCAACATTTTAAGACATTAACCTTAAACAGGACCAATGAAGAACTCTTCAGTTCCTGGAACTGTTGGAATTTGACCTTTCTGATCTCTCCACAATAGAGCCAAACCTTGGAAGTGAAGCCAATTGGAAGTCTTTTCTAAACCTCCTTTTAATAAAAAGTGTTCTTCAGCACATATGAAAAATACAGAAAAAAATCCACACTGAAAAGCTGCCCTTATCATTTGGCCCATATGGAGTTTTAACAGTTCTCTCTGAAATAAGAACAAAAGATAAAAATGAGTTCTTTTTCACATCTTCAGCTGCATTCATGCGCATCCCTCATGTCAAATTGCCAGCCTTTTGGCTAAAGATAAAAAACTGAGGCTACGCTTGGCTGTGCCCGGGCGCAGTTCAAGTCCGTTCTTGCACGATGGCATCATGCACAGTTAAAAGCAATTATAGCTGAAAGAATCCAAAGTAGGCAGGCAGTCAATGGATTTGGAAGGGTGCAGAGTAGATGATCCTACAGAGAAAAGAACCAAAACACCAGGTTATGTAACTGAATATTAAGTGTGGTTGTGCTTTCAGTTCACAATAATTTCAGTGTTCCTCTGAATTTTGCAACCTCAGCACCAGAGAGAGAGCCAAGATACAGATAAGAGTGTCTCTCTGTGCTAGTCTTGGGGGTCCCACACACAAGATCTTACTAGACTTCCATTCACATGCATTCAAATATTGAATGAAATCGCCAAAGTTTTTATGCTTGCTGGGGTGGATACATTTTTTAGAATGGAAAGTAGTCAGTTGTCACCTGACCTCAATCCAGTCGAGCTCACTGAAGGCAAAACTGAAGGTAAAAGACCGCAAGAACATGCAGGAACTGTAGAGAGCTGCAGTAAAAGCCAGACAGGGTTCAGACAGTCACTGACTGCAAAGGATTTGCAGCCAAGTGTTAAAAATCACAATTTAATTCAATTTCAGTTATGATCATGTCAGTGTGTCACAGTAAAGTGGATCAGTGTGTAGAATCGGAAATCACCGTGTGCTACTGTTTTACAACAGTTGCTACAGCAGAATCTGATTGGTTGAGAAGAGTTCTGCCCGGGCTGTTATTTGTGATAACACTAGGCCTGGGCGACATCCTAAAACAGCCCAATATTTTCGATTATGGTCTTATTCAAATGTCCCTCTCCACCTTAAATGGTGCACTAGTTACTTTTAGGTGCCTGTCTAGGTGCCATAATGAAACTGTTGCTCCATTTAAGGTGGAACTGAAAATTTGAACTAAAAAGCTGCCGAATAAGTAGCCAAATTCAGCCTTGTAGAAACTGACATTTAGTATTGTTTTAGCCTAACTAGTGTTAGAAACCATAGTGATAGTGGTTTATCTAATTATTGTTCTGTTTTGTTTCCACTATTTGGCACAATATATATATAAATATAAAATAAAAATAGGTTCGTTTTATGTTGGCTGGTAAAATGGTTCTTGTTAAAAAGTTTAGGGCCATCCCAGAATAATAAGCCACTGTTAACACTACACAAATATGTTTGCTTAAATTAACTAAAATTGTTTTATTTTTAAATTATAAATATACTTTTAAATTATATATATATATATATATATATATATATATACCAAAACAGTCAGAAATTTGAATTATACTGTGACATACGTTTTTGGTTATACTGCCCAATAATAATTTGACCTGCAGCCTGTTTGGCCAGAGTCTGAAGTAATAAATAAGAAAATAAGAAAGTAATAAAAAATAATAGAACACAATTTAGCAAACAAGGTGGGCTGAAATGCTTCACAGACTGACGGCAACAAAACCACATTGAGTTTCATCTGGAAAACACTGAAAAAGCTGAGCTGAACCTGATATTGTGACAGTTTTATGACCTTTTTGTGCTTTTGTAGCGCAAAAGGGAACCACTTTTTGTGGCGAAAGGAATTGCATATAATAAAGCATTTTTGAAACAATGTTAAGGGCTTATTCACTTTACTTTTCCTTTATTTTTCAGAACTACTGTAAAAGCAATAGACCACTTGAGATTGTGTGTTATCGCAGCTGTAATATTCTACTGCACTGAATTTTGGCTCACACCTATGACTGAATCACAGCCTTGATGTTATCTTGATGTTATTCTTGACAACTCACTCCTTATCATCTTCTATTGCTTAATTCTATCACTGTACAAAGAAGCTTCTTGCTGCCTTTATCACTGGATGCACTGTGATGATTTCTGAGACACATTCAGAACACAATTCACGTTGCTATGGAAGCTTATTATTGATTTCATTAATCAAAATAATAAAACATTACAGAAGTACAAAGTTTATTCTTATTCATTCCTTTTTTTGGCTTTGTTATCATGTTCTTTACATGTTAAAAAAACTAACATCAGACTGAGACATAAGGGTGAGCAATGTGAAAATATCGTTCTCTTTATTGTAAATTATGCCACTTTTCTGAGTGCATCATTAGTTAAAGAACACTGCATGTTTCATTACAAAGAAAGCATAATTATTCCTGTTTAAGTAGATTTAGCTGAGTGTGCAATACATTGAACAATAATCACTTCATTCTTACTTTGTGATAGATTTTTTGGTCACACTTTATTTGGATGGTCCACTATAGATGCTCTACAGATACTTAAAACATTATCAAACCTTCTGGTGGTGTTCAGTTGATTATAGACAACATTAAGGCCCAGTCCCATTTCTTCATTTTTACCCCTACCCCTTGTTTTCGAGTGTCACCCTAACCCCTTGGAACTGAGTAACAAGGTGTAGTGGTTGAAATCTTCCCTCTGAAATGGGACCCTCAAATAAAAAGAGCATTACTTCATTAACAGCTACCAGCGCTGCTCTGTAGGCGACACGGGCCGTCTTCAGTAATGGCAGAGGAGGGTAAAGTTCAGCTCCTCACTGCTGGGCTTTAGTTACACTTAGGGCATCATATGCCTCCAAAGAGGGGGGCAATTATTTATTATCACCCACCCCTAATTCTTCAGTGATATGAAGCTGAAGTCAGATATTCACCAGCTTCTTGTTCGAATTTTCCTGTTCCACCTTAAATGCTGCAGCAGTTACATTCTGGCGCTTCAGGCATCAGAACTGCTGGACTATTTAAGGTGGAACGGGAAAGTTAGCTAGATAGCTACTGAAACATTAGCATGCTATTAGCAATTTTTTTTTTATGCCCGTTACAAAGAAAACGACCATAATACACTGAAAAGACGTTACACTAAGATAAAACAATAATTATTGTAATTTTTTAACGGAAAAAATTCTTATGTTTGTGGTTTTCTTTGGTCGCTTGTTCAGCCATCTTGCCGATTCTTCTGTTTGGAGTCTCTGAAAAACCTCCGTTTGGAGGGTCATGCAGCTCTAACACTTCACCCTACCCCTCTATCTCAACAAGAATTGGGACACCCTACCCCTAGACGTGAACGCGCACAACAGAGGGCTAAGGGCTAAGTGGTAGGGGCAAGGGGTGAAATGAGATTGGGCCTAAGGTTAGGATTAGGAGCAGATGTAGGTTTTGGGGTTAAGACTAGGATTAGGGATAGGTTTTAAAAACTGAATGTTCAGTTAGTTGAATGTTACTTAAAGATATACTGAGCATTTACAAAGCATCTACAGTGGACCATCCAAATAAAGTGTTACCTTTTATTTAACCTCAGAAATACTCAATATTGTGATAATACCATGTATTGTGAAATTGTGATATTTTTGCCATAAAGTCCACACCTACTGAAACGTCCCATTCTTAAAGTGCAGAAATAGCAGCTTTTCTTTTGTGTGGGCATTAAATTGTTAAAACTCATGAATCACGAATAACTTATTAGTTAAAGCTTCAGTCTGATGAGTTGAATGGTTAGTTTGTGATGTTAACAGACAAAAACACTAAACTAACCCACACTGTGCTTTCCCAGAACTGGGGTTGTAAAATTCACCATCAAAGTGAAGACACATGTACACGACATGTCCAAAAGTGTCCAGACAAGCCTTCTAATGAGTACATTACGCTACTTTAGCTTTCCCAAAACAGTGGAGGTTGTTACTGCATCAAAGGGGGGTCCCTATTAAAGAGGAATTCCACCTATTTTTCAAAATTTCTGCATAATTTAGTGGTTGAGATGCAAACAAACTCATCTACAGTAGGTTGGACTCTTTGGAGGTTGTGTTAAAGAGCTGTGTGAGATCTTTCTTACTCACTGATATACGGCTCTACAACGAGTCTCCTCACTGCAGAGACGGTACTGATCTCCTGCTGTCTGAACTGAGCTGAACCTCATCACTATATCACCTCTCTTATTAATACACACTGTGCTGTATATCATAACCTGCTACTGTAACGACACTTTCACTGTGCACTGTAGACCATGGTTGTCAAACTCAACCAGTAAAAGGGCCATATTGAAAAATCTCATCAAATCTGTGACTCAGAGGGAAAAAAAAGTTTGTTTTTCATTATTAATTAATGTTGTGTTGTAACCCAAACTGGCCATTGTGTATTCAAAATATGCAAAAACGTCAACAGTAAAATACAGACACTTGCAGTAGACCTTGAAATATTACGTGGACACTTGAAATATCGAACATTTAAATGTCCCCAGGTGCTCCGTTTTTTAATCCTACCTATTTGCTTGAACTAGACACCTGGCATCTTTTCTTTACTGCAAGTTCATTAAGACTTGGGCTCAGTTTCCGAGCTGGTGCGCTGACGTTAAGTGTTTATGTTGGTTGAACTGCAGCTGAAATGCATTTTGGTGATCCGACTGGTGTGGAATTGTGTGGAACTGTGTAGAATTGAGGTATAACCGCTGTCCCATAGACTGTAATTGGGGTAGGAGAGTTGGAGCACATTACATTGCAGTGCACGCTGGGGACTGTAGTGCAGCACATTGCGAAACGGGCTAATATTAATGGAAAATTTAAATGCTTTTGCGGACCTGATAGGATTGTGTGGCGGGCCTGATCTGGCCCATGAGCCTTGTGTTTGACATATGGGCTTTAGACTGTAAATGCTGCTGCTGCTCCCAGTTATGTTTATACTCAAAGTGTTGTAACGACCTCATACCATTTAGTGCAATACCTACTATCATGTAAATACAACAAATCTGTCGTACATGCTAAGTAAATATGCAAATAGATATACTTTTCCTTCTCTCTCATACTTTAATTTATGTCCATTTTTATTTATGTTTATGTGCACTAATGTCTTGCTACTGTAACACTGATATTTCCCTTTGGGATCAATTCAAAAGTTCTATCTGTCTGTCAGTCTGTCTATCTAGAGTGTTTATATTGTCACGTGCTGCTATTGGCTGGCTCTGGTGCCTGAGACTCTGGAGGCGTGGCTAAGCAGATGGTATACATGTGTCCTCCTAAAGAGACTGTTTGAGTTGTTTTATGTTGGTTTTTTTAGTTATGTGTGTTTGTTGCTTGTGTTCTAATGTGTTGGTGAGTGGGGTTACTGTGTTGGGGGTTGGTCACTGTCAGGGTGAAGCCGGTGGCTATTGCTGACCTCCTCCATGGCTCCATCTGCCAGTGTGTTCAATAAAGAGCACTTGTTGCAGCAGAACCACGGCTAGCCCTGTGTTTCTTCTTCTGCCGACGCTACAGTATATAATGATGGTGGTAAATAATTTTGTAAATTATTATTATATAGTAAAATAATTTTGGTGCTATTTTGCCTTACAGTGCTCTGTATGTACACCTTTGCCATGAGTGTATTGGTTTTTTTGATACTTTTAAGACCAAAACTTTCTCAAAACTATTGTGAAAGAACATCCCAGACATCAGGCAACAAATTTATTACCATTTTGTGTGATAACTTTCTGTGAGGGAGCTTTTAGAGGTGGATGTCTGTTTCCTATCACCACCACTGTGAACAATTCTGATATGTTGAGTTTCTCTAGAACCCATATGTGAAACACAAGGCTCGCGGGTCAGATCAGGCCCAAGACCAGTCCTATCCGTACGTCAATTTTCTGTTAATATCAACCCGTTTCACAATGCGCTGCAGTATAATCTTCAGCATGCACGTGTGCGTTCCAGCTCTCCTCCCCCAACAACAATCTATGGGACAGCGGTTACACCACAATTCCACTACACTAGTCCTAAAACCGAACAAACTAGCTGAGTTTCAGCCAAATAAACACCTAACAGCTCAGATATTGATCCCAAGAATTAATAAACATGCAGCAAAGAAAAGATGCCAGGTGTCTAGTTCAAGCAAATAGGTAGGTTTATGCTCGTAGGTATATTTCGTTTTTTTCATCTGAATTTACATACCCAAATCATAAGGCAAATTATTCAGTAACTGCATGAAATAAATGTAATTTTTCTTTTTTTTGTAAAAGCTCCCCTCAAATTAACAGAACATATGTTTTATGATCACACATATCGCTATATGCTTACAATTTACCGCTGAAAGCCAAAAATCTTAGATGCTCTTTGTATTTTTTTGTAAAAATAGTTTTTACAGAGCAGATCACTGAAGAGACGCCATCTGTTTATAATTTATAGCCCAGATTTGTGGAAAAATGGGTCGACTTTCAGGAGAAAAAAATTCAGCTTCTTTTATTATAAGGGTTTAAAATTACATCACCCATCTATTAGACTGGACAGAAGACAGTTACAGCTCTCATACGACCCCCACCTTTTGAATGTAGCTTATGAAATATGAAAGTTATGAAGTAAAGAATATGAAGAAGTGCGTTTTGGAACCACCGGTGGTTCCAAGGAGTTAAAAAGGTTAAAAGACCGACCTCCTGGAGACATTTAAATAATGAAAATGTCAAGGTTGCCCTGCGATGGACTGGTGACCTGTCCAGGGTGTATCCTGCCTTCCGCCCAATGACAGCTGGGATAGGCTCCAGCACCCCACCGCGACCCAGAAGGATAAGCGATTTAGATGATGTATGTATGTATGTAAATTTCAAGGTCTACTACAAGTGCCTATATTTTGCAATTGATGTTTTGGTGTATTTTGAATGAACCTGCCCTGCCCTAGAACGAAGCATTTCACACCAAACCCCTTTGAATGACTTTGCTTACATCTAAACCATATAATTATTACAGAAATTTTGAGAAATTGGTGGAAACACTCTTAATTTCAGAAGAAATGCTGGATGAGCAGGTGTCCACAAACTTTTGGACATGTAGTATAACTCTAAAATCTCTTCACCTACCTCTGGTTTTGGGATCAAGCACTGAAACGTGTATGAAGGGCCACAAATGCCAAACTAATGAAATATTAAGTCATGTTTTTTGTGGTAATCTTCAGTTCTTCACAGAAATTAATGCATGATTGGATGTTTTCCACATTTTCCAACTCATCAGTCGGCAAGCGCTTGCTGAGTGAAGTCAGATGTGCTGGATATTTCCATGCATGTGGGGAGCGACGTGCCGAAGATCAGGTCCCAGTGTCTGAAATACGGCGCATAGTTGCCTCTGAAGTGCTGGTGGTGAGCCTGATGGAAGGGAGGTCCTCCAAAGCAGGGCAGCAGCCGGTGTCTGGCCCAAGGGAAGTCGTAGCCACAGTGGTCCTCCACAGCCAGCCAGATGTTGAGCAAATGGAAAAAGATCTCGCTCATGGGATGGCAACCCACCAGCTTGGCACTGGAGACGGCCAGCACCTGCTGGAAAAGCAGCTCTTCGATGCTGGAGTCCTGGGCAGCCAGTGCGAATGTGTCCCGGTTTACATGGTGAGAGCGATGGAACTTCTGATAGAGCCATGGATTTCTGAGAAACAAACACAAGAATGAGTTTAGTTTGGGAAAAAGGCAGATATGGTTGATCTGTAGACATGTTCTGCAGAACAGCTGCTAGAAGAACATAAGGTTTCCATATAAGTCTGGCTAGGATTGCTAATGAAATTATAATATAATGATATAAACAGTGAGGTTCAGATGCCAGGGTCTTATAGGGGTGGGAGATAAAATCAACAACATATCAAAATGTCTTGGGTTTCTAAATAGTATTGAAATATTATTATGCACATATTTTTAATATGTATTAAGCCTATTGTTAGCCTAATACAGGAGTCAGCAACAACTGCCCTGTTGCGGCTCCACAGCAGAATTAGATTTTTAGGTAAAAATAAAATAATCCTCCTTTGCAGTAAAATAAAGCTCTGCCTATTGTTTTAACATAGTTTAATGAAAAAAATGGTCTTGCTGGAATTAATGTGGTCTATATATGCTAATTCAACAAACTTTAACCCCGAAGGTTGGTGCACAGACTGCTGGTCACAATGCAGACAAGAATCTCGCCTAGCTAACAGCTAACAAAAACGGCAAAGAAGAGAAAGATTTAAGACGGACATCAGTAATTTGAGACGAATGGACTTATTTGCATTTATATTCACTCCAGCTGGTTTCCTGATACGTTTAATCTGCAACGAGAAACTGACAAACACTAAAAAGTCACGAAGCTGAAGTCAGTTTCTCATTCGGCAGCTTCTTGTTCAAATTGTCCCGCTCCACCTTAAATGGTAAGGCAGTTACATTATGGTGCCTCAGGCACCATTTAAGGTGGAACGGAAAAATGTTCAGCCTCATAAAAAATCGAACGTTGAGAGATATTTTACAAGAAACTGTTTCCTGCCGGAGATGTGAGAAAAGCAGCTATAGCTGAGCTGAAGCTTAAAGCAGAGCAAAGTAAGTCTGCATTTTCATTTATATTATATTTTTAGCCTATACTAGTACATCAACACATACTGAGACATATTAATAGCCAAGATGGGAAAATGGACATAGGTGCTCCTAAGGTGGTTTAATTTTTGTAGAAAGGACAAAAATAGCTCCTTTTAACATTTATGTTGCCGAGCGCTGGCCTAATAAATCACCAAAAAGCATTTCATCACTGTTGCATCAAAACCTTGTATCTTCAAAATGGTTAAAAAAACCTTCTCAACTTTGAATGAAAATTTAAGGAAAAAGAATGACTTGTAAAGCTGCTAATGGTTAATCGAGTAACCATGGTAACAGCCACCCCCGTGGCAGTAAAAAAGCATTTACCACAAGTTAAAATAAGTTAAAATTCATTATTTATTATGGGCAAACCACTGCAAGACTTTAGTATTTCCACATGGAAGCAGAACTTTTAAACAGTGGGCGATTTGATATCCTACATTAACACTGCATTTATTGTTCCTAACATAGATAAGATGGTTGTGGAAACCCAGCTCGGGGCTGCAGGCCGATATCATGAAAGCAAAAAGCCGCCTGTATGTTACGGTGCACATTTTAGGATCCTCAGGCCCAGCAGAGGCTCATCTCCTCTTCTGTCTTCAGTTTGAGAAATGAGTAATAATTCTCTCTTTACACCAAACTCTTGAGAAGCTGGGCGAGTTTTCAGATTTACAGATATGCTGTGACATACTGGAAAGTTTTTCAGAGGTCTTTCAGGCATAGTTACAGTTGCTAGGCTATGATGGACCAACTGAGTGAACCAGTATGCTACAGCGCCAGCCTGAGGCAGAGCAGTGCTGCAGCTGGTTAAACCGAGTTCCCCCGTCACAGGTCGGCAGGGAGGGAGGACCCAAGTTATTACATACAGTAGGTGCAGCATTTTCATTGTCTCTGGGGTTTCAGTAGGTGCTCCTCTAGCTGAGTGCCATTATGGCAATCAGCCCAGAGCATTCTGGGAGTTGGAGTTTGTAACTGCTCTGGGTGAGCGCTGCTGCTGCTGCCCTCCGAAGCAGGTGGCCTTGAGTGCCTCCTTACATCTTTTCATGGTTGAAGCAGCCTAAACAGTTAGCTTCTCTGAATTTCTGTTTGAGTGTCTAATAACAGCATAATAAGCTTATCTTCAGGGACCCCCTGAATTTTGATTTTGAGACATTCAGATGGTCCAGACCCCTTGAACCTCCTGTATTTTGCACCTTGCTGACACTACAGCATCAGGGTTCATAATAAAAAATGACTTTGGTCTTCACTGTGTTCAGAAAAACAGGGACAAACACATAAAAACATGTCTCAGCTCTCATTCATCAGGTAAAACGGGTTGTTTCAAATGGCCTCATTTGAAACGACTTCAGAGAAGAGCTAAGTGGCCACAAACTCTCAAACGATAAAGTTCATGTGACATTCACAATTCCCTTCTTTTGTTACAAGATTAGTTTTGTGGCCAAATTAAAGATGACAGTGCACTACAACCATGTCTTTTACCAAACTGCGCTTTATTAAGTTCTTTTATTTGACAATGATTAAGACTCAACCATGTCCGATTCAGGATACAAAGGGAGAAAAACTGCCCTGATCTGTACTAGTTTAACTGCTTACTACAGTACTACTAAGGTACAGGCCTGGAACTGTTTTTTTTTTTTGTTTTTGTTTTTTTTTCTACTTTTTGTTAAATTTAAGTGTTGGCTGGCATTTTCAAATTCTGTAAATATGAAAAGAAATAGCTCAGCATTGGTGGCTCAATGTTAGAAGTCTCGGGTGCCACGTGGGAGACCCGGGTTCAATGCACAGCCTTGTTTGGGGGCAGTCATGGGCTGGTTAGGGAACCAGCCTTGTAACCGGAAGGTCACCAGTTCGATCTCCTGAGTTGACAGTACGTGACCTGAAGTGCCCTTGAGCAAGGCACCTAACCCTCAACTGCTCCCCAGGTGCGGATAGGGCTGCCCACCACCCCGGGCAAGTATGCTCACTGCCCCCTAGTGTGTGTGTTCACTAGTGTGTATGTGGTGTTTCACTGCACGGATGGGTAAAATGTGGAGGTAAAATTTCCATGTTGTGGGATTAATAAAGGTCTCTTAATCCACAAGGTTTAATTCTTACGTCTTCTTAATCCACAAGTTGACACCATTCTTTCTTTGCAGGGTTTGTGTCAGTGGGGATTTTGAGATGAATGGCCAGTGTAGCGGATAACACACTCGCCCGTGCACCCGGGAGGAAGGGATTGCAATCCCGTCCAGGCAGGAATGCTGCTTGTAATATAGTGTCACATAATAAGTGTCACTGGGCAAGATTCCTAATGTTACATTCACCTGCCACTGCAAACTTCCCTAGAAAAAGGCATTTATTAAATGTTGCTGGTCTACTTACACTTATGCTGCCAATTTAATCACACAACAGTGTTAGGACTCTTATTGTTATTGCAACAAACCTCAGCTCAGAACAGTCCAGACAGATTTAGACATGTAAAATTTTGGATTGCTTCACTGACTCTCGCTCTGGACCACATGTGTGAGGACAGCTTTACAACATCAAAACAAGCATGAGTGGCAAAATGTGAAAGGGCTGCACTTTCGAAATGCTTATTAAACACAGTCGGAAACAGACGTCATGAGAAATTTAACAGCAGGAAACTCATTCATGTGAAAACAGCATGAAATGTGGTGTCACCACTGTGCTGCTGTGCGTTAAACTGGATTGTATTGACTAGTCTTATACAGAACTCATGTGAACATCTTGGTTTCCTAAACTATCTTAGAATTTAAAGGAGAACTCCACCAATTTTTAAGAAATTATACATAATTAAGTGGTTAAGATGCAAACAAAGTCATTCAGACTGGTTTGGTGTGAAATGCTCCATTCTAGAGAAACAAATTAATCAGAATTGTTCACAGTGGTGGTGATAGGAACCAGATGTCCACCTCTAAAAGGTCCCTCACAGAAAGTTATTAAATGAAATGGTTATGAATTCACTGCCTGGCACATTAGCCATGTTTACATTCAGCCTGATAATCCGTTAATAATCCGACTAATAGCTCAATCGGGAAAGAATACGTCCATGTAAACACCTCAATCGGAATAGACTAGTCCGACTGAGGCCGTTTGGAATACAGTTTCTATCCGATTGAATAAGGTGGGTAATCCTGTAAATAATCCGTTAAATAGAAGAATAATTTCTGTGTAAACGCCTGTATCTGATTACATTCCCTATCAGAAAGTTTAAGTCCGTTCTGATCATGTTCGTCGCGTCATAGTGAAAGTTTATACCGTTCAACATGGTGGAGCAGAAACTGGTCTGCAGAGGAGACGAAGTTTATGCTCTGATCTTTAAGAGACGGCGGTGGGACGGACGTCCAGCTTATGTGTCTCAGAACACGACGTCTTCCTTTCGGCCTTCTTTAATAAGGACATGTGAAGAACGTTTTCCTGAGTCTGACATCATTTTAAAGTAATTAAAAACACAAGCACTGCTCACTGCTGCTCGTCTCACTCTGACTGCACTCACGTGATGCTGGTTGTCATGGTAACATCTACGCTAAGTGGTTCTCTACGCATGCGCATCATTTTGGATCTGATTACTTGTAGTGAGCATGAAAATGAAGATTTCCCATCAGATTGTTGAGTAGAGTGAGAATAAACACCTCAGTCTTAATCTATAATCAGAATGTATTCAGTTGGTTTGGCAAAAATCTGTGCATGTAAACACAGCCAGTGTTTCATCATAGTTTTGAGAAGATTTTGGCCAAAAACATTTTTGAACGAATTCATGGAGGGGGGGATACATGCAGGGTGTTGTGAGGCAAAATAATCCCCAAAGAAAACTTATTTTGTCAGCTACAGCACTATTTCACCATCATCAATATTCCATATAAACTCAGAAGACTCGTGTAGGTTCACTGGTGGTTTTGGATAGTAAATAAAATGTCTATATTTGTGTTGTAGTCATGGCGACCCCTGGTAACCTATCACCACCACTGTAAAGACATCTGAACCATTTCACACCAAACCACTCTGAATGACTCTGTTTACATCTCAAATTTTGAAAAATAGGTGGAATTCCTCTTTAATAGGGACCCCCTTTAGTGCAGTAACTACCTTTACTGTTCTGGGAAGGCAAAAGTAGCGTAATGCGCTCATTAGAAGGCTTGTCTGGACACTTTTGGACATGTAGTGAACACGTGTCTTCACTTTGGGGGTGGATTTTACAGTCCTAGCTCTGGGAGAGCACAGTGCGGGTTAGTTTAGATAATACAGAATTCATGTAAACATCTTGGTTTCGTGGACTATCTTAGAACGTAAAGGAGATCTCCACCAATTTTTCAAGAATTCTACATAATTAAAGGATTAAGATGTAAAGTCATTCAGAGTGGTTTGGTGTGAAATGCTTCGTTCTAGAGAAGATAGAGACTCTGTTTACATCTCAAACACTCAGTTATGGAGAATTTTTGGTTAATCAGTGGAATTTGCCTTTAAGGCTGTTGTGTGCTTGTAAATGTAGCTGCTGTGATGCAAAGGATACAATAAAATTTAACTGTACTGTGTCATAAACAGAAGGCTTGTAAAGCCGACTGCAGCTGTGCTTATGTTATTCGTTCATGCAGTCAAAAGAATTTGATTTGCTGAGAATACAAGGCCACTGACTTACAGGAAGATATAAAAGTACAGCCTAAGAAATAATTGTGCCTTTTTAAAGTCAACTCACTTGCTTTCAAACGGTTTCCTGTCCTGCAGCGGGGAAAACAACGAGGGGAAAAACAGAAAAAAGACTTTATAGAAGAGAAAACGGGTAAAGGAAAAGATGAAAGAGATGAGATTGGTTAAAATATATGAAGCAGAAGAGAATGGGCTTCATGGTACTGTTTTAAGGCTAGAAGCAGGTTCTCATCCTGAAAGTGCATTTCCAGTCCTAATTTCTGCTCCATATTGCTGTCAGGAGCACGAGGGCTAACTTAGCCTGCAGCTGAAGTTCACGGCTAATAAGAAATGTAGCCAATGTTTGTGCATAAAGTCTCTGCTAAGTCTTTAATTACCACTAGTTACTTTCAAACTACCATTTTATTCAATTTCCTTGCCTCACTAATCCATATACATCGTCTTGGATGCTAAAAAACAAACGGTAGCGCTTTTTTTTTTAACAGTCCCTTAATTCCAAGTATTAACCAGGTGCAAATTACTAGGTGATCATTTTGGGAAACTTGATGGTTTTAGAGCAGTCTAACTAAATTACACTGCAATGTCCAACAGGCTCTAGGTATTAAATGAGTAAGGCCCAATCCCATTTCACCCCTCGCCCCTACCACTGAGCCCTTAGCCCTCTGTTTTGTGCGTTCACGTCTAGGGGTAGGGTGTCCTGATTCTTGTTGAGATAGAGGGGTAGGGCGAAGTGTCAGGGCTACATGACCCTCCAAACGGAGGTTTTTCAGAGACTCCAAACAGAGAGTTATGAGAAAAAAAAGAAAAACCAGCAAGATGGCTGAACAAGAGACTAAAGAGACCAACAAATGTGAGAATTTTCTCCGTTAAAAAATATGATAACCACTGTATGAGCTTAGTTTAATGCCGTTTCAAGGTATTATGGTCTTTTTCTTCATAACAAGCATAAAAAATTGCTAGTAGATGCTGATGTCTCAGTAGCTAGATAGCTAAAATTTTCCGTTCCACCTTAAGTGGATGGAATTTAAGGTGGAAAGGGAAAATTCAAACAAGAATCTGGTGAATGTCTGACTTCGCCTTTATCACTGAAGAATTAGTGGTGGGTGATAATAAATAATCCCCCCCCCCTTTGAAGGCATATGACTCCCTAAATGTAACTAAAGCTCAGCAGTGAGGAGCTGAACTTACCCTCCTCTGCTGTCACTGCAGACTGGCAGGGTCACCTACAGAGCCAGCGCCAGTAGCTGTTAATGAAGTGATGCTCTTTTTATTTGAGGGTCTCATTTCAGAGGGAAGATTTCAACCACTACCTGTTGTGACTCCATTCCGAGGGGCAAGGTGACACTCGAAAACAAAAGGGAAGGGGTAAGAATAAGAAATGGGACTGGGCCTTTGTCTTTGCTGCATTACATAAACTACCATTTCATTCAATTCCCTTGCATCACTAATCCATATATAGTCTTGGGTGCTAAAAAACAAAGTAAGCAACTGAGTTAGAAATTAGAAATTTAAATGCAAAATTCTGAATTTGAATGTCCGTCTGAGTCTGTATCATACCATCTGAAATTGACTTATGAACTGAAATTGGATTTCAAGGTTTGTAAGAGCAATATCAAATCTGAAACTGAATTTCTAAAAAGTATTAAGTTTCTCTATTAATACTCATTTTCAGGTTCACTTTCAACATAACGTCTTGCAGGCAAAAGCAGTCAAATACTGAAAATCCTAGTGACAAAAATTCATTTCACTGCTGTTATCAGGACTCTTATTCTACATTTTAACACAGTATTTTCAGCTCTATTTAACTGCTTCTTTGGGTCGAGGCTCATCAGAGAGGACGCATCTCAAGGCAGGACAAAGCGGGTCACACTCGCTCACTATATTTCATTAATTTATTAATAATTCTGTTTATCAGGCAGCACAAAACTTCTATGTGTCACTGGTGTTTTGTGCTGTAATGGCTGGGTAATTAAAGTTTTGTCAAAATAATGTCATATATATAATTCTTATTACTGATTTTAAATAGTTACACAAGGTCAGCTGATCAGCCAATGAGTCAGCCAATTTACAGAATCCTCAGTTTTACCCAGAATGTCACAGGAGTCACCGTCACTGGTGTTACACCATATTCATACAATACCAGTGACTGTAAACTATTTTTGGAATTAAGCTCTCCTACTTGCATATATGATAATAGGAGATGTTAATGGACATATTAATATTATTTTTTAGTTTTGAGACAGAAGAAATTGATTTTTCAGAAATGTATTCACCTGAATCCCCACTCCAAATGGAGAACGACCTGTATGTACAGGGATGTAGTACCAGTACATTGTGCCAGTGTATCAAAATATCAATGCAATGCAATGAAAAGCATCATGACTTCATACTTTTTCCACATTAACCCCCTTACACGCTTAGAACAGATGGTTCTTCAAGGGTTCTTTAGTAAAGACAATAGTTCTGTAGAACCCAGTAACACTCAAAGAACCGTTAGCATGCCTAAATGGTTCTTTGCCTGGTGAAATGGTTCTTCAGGTTGATGGAGAATGGGTTGTATATGGTTCTGTATAGAACCTTGTTGAAAATGGTTCTTCTATTACAAGCTTGACATCGTAACTATAGCAGAACCCTTTTTAGTGCTATGTAGACGATACACAACACAATAAGTCTGAAGAACCATTTCACTACGCACAGAACCACTTAAGTATGAAATGGTTCTATATAGAACTCATTCGGTTCTTTTTGAAAAGGGTTCTATACAGTACCAAAAAGAGTTCTTTTCTTACAAGCTTAACGTTGTAACTGTAGCAGAACCTTTTTGGTGCTCTATAGAACCATTTTCAAAATCATAGAACCATGTAAAACACGTTCTCCATCAATCTGAAGAAACGTTCCACCATGCAAAGAACCATTTAAGCCTGTAAATGGTGCTTTGAGTGTCCATGGTTCTATACAAATCCACTGTCTACCAAAAAACCCTTGAAGAACCATCTTTTTTAAGAGAGTACAGTGGTTCTAAACCGCGCGCGCTCCAAACTCACCCGTGCACGACGTAGTGCGCGATGAAGAAGAGCGTGTCGAACACCAGCAGACACGCGAAGCACTCGGAGAGCGCGCGGAAGAGCGGCGGCGCTGCGCGGTACTCTTCGGCGCTCCTCCGCGCGAGCAGCTGCAGCAGCGCGGCGAAGGGCAGCACAGCCACCGTGTACTTGTACGCGATCCGCTCGAGGCAGCGAAACCATCGCCGCGGGTCCTCCGCTTGCGCCCCGCGCCCGATCCGGTAGCGGTCAATCCAGGGCGCGCGCTCGCCCAGCAGCTCCAGGAGCAGGAAAGGCGCCGAGAAGCAGAGGTGAGCGGCGAACGCGAGGCACGCGGCCCCCGCTGGGGACAGCAGCAGCGCCGGGTGCGCGCGCAACGCGTCCCACGCGGACTGCAGCAGCGCCGGAGCGACGGCGGCATCGGTCGCGTTCACGGTCATTGTTAATGGACGCGTGTCGGTCGCGCCGTCATGATTTCCACGCGCTGGAAGTTTCTCTCTTGTTTCTCGGGCTGCACGCGCTTCTCGCTGCTGATGTGCTTCCCGACGCTGCTCCGCGCGCAACTCCAGCCGACGCTCTGCGCGAGAGCTTTTGAGGGGCTCTCTTCAGACTGACTCGAAATCCAGACTGGCGCGAGAGTCTCTCTCTCTCTCTCTCTCTCTCTCTCTCTCTCTCTCTCTCTCTCTCTCTCTCTCTCACTCTCACTCTCTCTCTCCCCCCTCTCTCTCCCTCTCTCTCTCTCTTTCCCTCCCTCTCTCTACATATTTAAAATGCTATATTATAATATATACACATATATATATATATATATATATATATATATATATATATATATATATATATATACATATACACAATATAGGTGTATTTTCCAATATGTTGTCATATATGTGCATATATTGGTCTATCTGAATATCATCGCTGTCCATAGATCTCCAAAATAGTAACTATAGGAATAGTAAGAGGAGAATGTAAGAATATTATTAACGTTTAATGCAAGTGAATGTAAAGAGGGAGTGGTTTTGGAATAAATCACAATCCACCATTTGAAGAAGACTTCAGAAGAAGACAAGAGCAGAAATATAGAGGCCATAACGCAAGACGCATACCGCTCATCAGCACTAAACCAGGAGGGCCAGATTGGAGTTTACAAAGAAATACAGAGCCAAGCCACAAAAGTTCTGGAACAGAGTTATATGGAATGATGAGGCCAAGATAAACCTCTATTGAAATGGGGGGAAAAGGCCACAGCATGGAGAAAGAAAGGATCTGCTGATCAGTCAAGCATGGTGGAGGTAGTGTCGTGGCTTGGACTTGCATGGCTGCTTCTGGAACAGGTGTACTAATCTATACTAATGTGGGTGGCAGCAGAATGAGTTCAGAGACCACAGAAACACTCTGTCTGCTAGTTTACAGAGAAATGCATCCAAGTTCATTGGGAGGAACTTCCATCATGTGGCAGCACAGTGACTCAAAACACACTGCCAACACAACGAAGGACTTCATGAGGGGGGAAAAAAGTGGAAAATTTTGGACTGGCCAAATCAATCACCAGACCTTCCTGCAATTGAGCATGCATTTCACCTCCTGATGAGGGAGAAACCCCCCCAAAACTAACAGCAATTGACAGAAGCTGCAGTAAAAGCCTGGAAAAGCATTAAAAAAGAAGAACACAAAAGTTTAGTGATGTCGGCAAGAGATATGCAACCAAATATTAGAGGTGAATTCCACTGCTTTTACAAGATGACCCTTTAATTCAGTCACTGAGATGTAAACAGAGTGATTCGTAGTGGTTTGGTGTGAAATGGTTCAGACTTCTTTACAGTGGTGGTGATAGGAACCAGGGGTCGCCATGGCTACAACACAAATATAGACATTTTATTTACTATCCAGAACCACCAGTGAACCTACACGAGTCTTCTGGGTTTTACATGGATCATTAATGATGGTAAAATAGTGATAAGTCTGAAAAATACGTTTTCTTTGGGGACTATTTTGCCTCATAACGCCTTGCGTGTACCTGTCCGCCATGAGGTCAGTATGTTTGAAGAATATGTTTTAGGTCAAAACCTTCTTAAAACAATGCCAGTCAATTCATAATCATTCCATTTCTGTGAGGGAGCTTTTAGAGGTGGACGTCTGGTTCCTATCACCACCATTGTGAACAATTCGTACTTGGTAAGTTTCTCTAGAATGGAGCACTTCAGACCAAACCACTCTTAAAGCCAGGCATACACTGTGAGATTTTAGCCCGGTTTTAAGCCCGATTTGGTTGGAGCCGACTGAATTTCATGGTCGGGCCGAGTTTCAGCTTCATCGGCCATAGCTTGTCGTGAAGTGTGAGAGGAGAAACCATGCCCAAACGAGCTCCAACTGGGCAGTCGGGCGATCTGATTAATTCTGACATGTCCGAAATTTTGGCCGCTTGTCTCACAGTCTGAGCAGCCTCACGAACCGATTTCTCAAAGTCACACCCAAAACCACACACAGTCACAGCCACCGCTCCTACACGGAGACACCAGCGTCCATATATGCCGACTTAGCTCTGTTTGACTGAGTCGAATTGCGAAGTGTAAATAAATACAGTGATGTTTTGTCTTCGTGGAGCTGTCTGTCTGTAGACCGCCTGGTCTTCAGCTTCAGTGCACAGTGTGGCCCAAGTTAGCAAAGCTGTTGAAGCGGTTTGTCCATTGTAGGGCAACAAACCACTAATTTCATAGTTGAATAATCTAGATAAAACGTGTACAGCGCAGTTAAAGTTATGATGTATGACGGTTCTGAAGCTCTGTCCTGAATGCGATGCCTAAGATTGCTTTTCAGTTAAAATGCTGCCCAACAAGAGAGCTGCCTTTGGAGGCAGGGACTAGTTAGGCAGCTGGCTTCAGAATAGAACACACTATGTGTCTGCAGGTATGGGGTTTTTAAAACACTGCTAGAAAAAAACCCTCAGCAAAGCTCCGTTTCCAGTGTAGATAAATGGAGCGTCACTATGCCAGTTACAGTGAACTGTGCTGCATAAAACAATAGAAACAAACAGTTAAACAGATGTTTGGACACTGTTGGCATTTATCCTAAAGTTAGGACAGCATTTAGAAGATTTAGTGTAGTCAGGATGTTGCTGTAATACTGTTTTCTTATCTGGAGTTAATGATGAGATTAGGAACTTAAGAACTTAACTTCAGTTGTTCTGTAGTAGCTTCTGCCCCGAATTCAGTTCTAAGTAAAGCTTTTATGGTGACTAAATAGATCAGATTTCAGAGTTAAGAAGTTTCTTTAATACAGCCCCAGAGAACTGAATGATCAAGTGTTCATGTGGGGTCAAGGGAGTGGAAACGGAGAACACATGCAATCCTGACAGCGTGAGCTGGATGACGCGGTGGTAAATAAAATGACACATAAGTGGAGTAGTGAAACTAACCACGAGGGGCTTCTAATGAATGCATGGATGTGTTAACAGATGTAGAGAGGGAGGAGGCATGCAGGGAGATTGACCTTCTTTAGCAGACTGCCCCTCTTTCAGCTAAAAGAGTTTTACCTCAAAAGTCATTAGTACCATTAGGCCTTAACGGCTGTGGACTCTACTTTATTTTCCTGTGTTCTTGAGCTGTTTGTGTCATTATCTATCTTGTTTTCCCAAAAGAATAATTAAATAATTAATTCAGGATCTCAAATAAAAACCCAGAGATGATGAGATAGTAGGTCTACAGTAGTTTAAACCTAATGCAACGCCTCATTTTTAGAGTAGAAAATGATAAAAGAATATTTACAATCAAGCCTACGTTCAGTTAGTGTTCAGAACATCCTTGTACAGCATGGTAACCCCTTAAAATCCCAGGCTTATTACACACTAAGGCCCAATCCCATTTCACCCCTCTCCCCTACCACTTAGCCCTGCCCCTCTGTTTTGACATTCACGTCTAGGGGTAGGGTGTCCTAATTCTTGTTGAGATAGAGGGGTAGGGCGAAGTGTTAGGGCTACATGACCCTCCAAATGGAGGTTTTTCAGAGACAGAGGAGGTTTTTATGAGAAACCGGCAAGATGGCTGCACAAACGACCCAAAAAGCCCACAAATGTGAGAATTTTCTCCGTTAAAAAATTACGATAAACACTGTATTATCTTAGTTTAATGTTGTTTCAGTGTGTTATGGTCCTTTTCTTCATAACAAGCATAAAAAATCCCTAATAGTATGCTTGTCTTAGTAGCCAGCCAGCAAGCTAAATTTCCCATTCCACCTTAAATAGTCCAGCAGTTCTGACGTCTGAAGCACCAGAATGTAACTGCTGCTCTATTTAAGGTGGAACAGGGAAAATTCGAACAAGAAGCTGGTGAATATCTGACTTTAGCTTCATATCACTGAAGAATTAGGGGTGGGTGATAATAAATAATTGCCCCCCTCTTTGAAGGCGTATGATGCCCTAAATGTAACTAAAGCCCAGCAGTGAGGAGCTGAACTTTACCCTCCTCTGCTGTCACTGCAGACTGGCAGGGTCGCCTACAGAGCAGCGCTGGTAGCTGTTAATAAAGTGATGCTCTTTTTATTTGAGGGTCCCATTTCAGAGGGAAGATTTCAACCACTACCCCCTGTAACTCATTTCCAAGGGACAATGTGACACTTGAAAACAAGGGGTAGGGGTAAAAATAAGAAATGGGACTGGGCCAAAGTCTTATTCATCAGTAACTACAGGGACTTCAGTGCAAACTGGCTGAGCTATTCTTAGATTATAGAAGTGCGTAATAAGACTTTGAACCTGCTGGTGGGCCCTGGCCTTTTAAAAGGTTAAAGGAATGGCTCACTGCAAAATCAAGTTCATACAATTTCCTCCAAACAGAGTCAGTCAGGTGAGCCATGTCTGGTGTAAAGTTTTGCTCAGGAGCTGTGAGCAGGGGCGTTGCTAGAACTTGAATGAGGTGGCCAGGTTACACTGGATTTCACTGGAGTGGCATGCACTGATTGCTCTCTGTACGTAACTGGATGTGTTCATCATTTCCACATGAATAAAATATTACATCACCAATATTGCCAAAGTAGACAAAGACAAAACTGTTGTAAAATACAGGATGATTCAAAAAGATTCATCCGATTTCAAAATGATGTATTTCCCTTGTAAATCATTACAGAACAATGCAGTAAACTGTAAATGGTTTAGTTGAGTATAAAGTTTATAATGTAATTTTTTAAGTGCTCAGTATGAACCTCCTCCAGCTGTATAGACAACATCAACGCCATAGTCAAACTCATCCCATTCTGTCCACTCACTGTCCACTCTATTAGACACTCCTACCTTGTCAGTCCAGCTTGTAGATGTAAAGTCAGAGACGATAGCTCATCTGCTGCTGCACAGTTTGTGTTGGTCATCCTCTAGTCCTTCATCAGTGGTCACAGGGCACTGCCCCCAGGACGCTGTTGGCTGGATATTTCTGGTTGGTGGACTATTCTC